ATCTAACCCTCACTTTAACCATAACCCTAATCTCAACCGTAGACCTGACGCTAATCGGAATCATAACCCTAACCTTAAACGTAACCCCAACCCTGAACTCAACACTAAACCTAAACTTAACCTTAAAAACCAAAGTGACCCTAATCCTAACGGTAACTCTGATCTACTCACTAACCCTAACCCCAACCTTAGTACAAAACGGGAACCCGACCCTAACCGTAACCGTAGACCTAACCTTGATCCTAACCCTAACATTGGCACACTCCAAAAAAGCATTGGCAATAAAAAAGATTAAATGTTAACCGTCTACTGAAATCAATAATAGTACGAAGGCAATAAGGTTCGAAAAAGCCGGACAACGTAATAGGGTCCTACCAAACAAAAACTGCCGGGTAATCTTCACGCCAAACATCAACGATGAGGGAATCACGACAAATGACGACTTGGGTGCTCACCGACAAGCAATCGTCACGTAAAATACGATCTCCAGCGATGAACACGGGTGCTGCTACTTATTGTGGACATGTGGTTGTCGGGCAAATGGACCCTATAAGTACTGCCTCTATTACGCTTTTCTGTGGCCGATGAATTCAGGGAGATGTTTCCCTGAATAGACGAGTTCCAGGAAGAAGTTCAGGTGTGAAAGATGTGATCACTGGAACAAGGGGTTTACTTTAGGGTGAGGTGATTCCATACTGGCAGCACAAGTACTAATCAAAGGCACATACACGCGTGTTACGCCGATATTCTTCCGCTGCATGACACATGTGCGAGGGGTTCGGCTCGTCGGTGGGTCCCCCAGCATCCCCTGTCTGCTGTCTGGTAGATACTCCAATTTAGAAATTGTAGCTTTTCAATTTCCCCAGAAATTAACTGCAAACGTGACGTTTCGGATTCTCCCTCAAGTCGATCACCAGAGACAGTCGCAGAAAATGGTGATAGAGGCACAAGGGACGTGTTTGCCCGAAAATCACATGTCTGCAGCAATTAACAGCGTTCCTGTCCATCGTTAGGGTCGTATTGGATAGGATGATTGGCTGTCGGTTCGTACCCTAATCGTCAATTCCCGTGATTTCACCGCCGTCGTTGACTGTTAGCGTGACGATTACACGAAAATTTGTCGCACTGTTACCATAACTACGACTGTCTCTGATGGAGTGTTCGAGTGAGAATCCGAAACGAAGGGCCAATAAAGTTCTTGTTCCAGTACTAGCAGCTTCGTCCTCTGTCATTAAAACTGGTGGTCGTTCGCGCCCTCCTGGGTGGCTGATTATTATGCTCAGACAAAATCGCAGAGCAGAATACAGTGGCAGAAGATCGTTGCGCTTTTTAATTGAATGCGGACCGGAGGATTATGAATTAAGCAGCTCGCGGCTCACGCGGCTGTTACTTCTCGCGCTAATTTCGGCCTCGTAGAACTTGAATATGCGGCCGGGTCCCGTCGAACGAGCCGCGATCTGGGGGCTAACGTCATTTCGTCCCACTGCTGCTGCAAGTTCGGCCATTCACGTTCGGAGTAATCTTCCCGTTTTTCCGACGTAGTTGCTTTGTCCCCAACTGCATGAGGTCCAGTAAGCGACTCCGGACGTCAACTCAAAACTTCGATCAGAGCCTCTGACAACTCCACTCACTGGAGCAGGCATCTGTCTTCGGTCATGTTCAGTATCTATATCGGGCTTAAACCCGACTAGGAGCGCTACAACGCCGAACTTCTTTATGGTTCCATCCCGGGAGATGTTTGCCTTTTGCGTCAAAATGTAGTTGGTCTGTGACAAGCAGTGGCTACCCTTTCTACTCTACGCACCGCAGTGAGTAAGTCATATATCGACTTTAACTTGACCCGTCATAACCACCCTCTGCGGTCCCTTCCGCTTCTTATCGCCTGCAACCAAGCTTTTCACAGTCCCACAAGGTGACCATATTGAGGTGGTTCCAACTAACTGCTTAAACCTGGTTCATATCGACCCCTATACACACGTTCCAACATGCCTGCCTTCTACACCCTGCTGATGCCCAGCCTCCGTTTACATCTGAGAATCTGGCGCAACCTCCTACCAACAAATCCATACTCTACGGGCAGTGGTCGACGTGTCCCCTTTATAAGTGCACAAGCCTACTGACGAGTCATGTTCAGAAGTAATTCAAAGTCTAAATACAGAGGGCGAAAACGACATTTTTAGTTCCAAAAATTCTCATAAAAGGATATGGAAGATTAGCTTGTGAGCAGACGCTCGCTTTCGATAGAATTCCGGTCGGACCAGTATGTTTATAATGGAACAAGGTCCAGTAAAACATGCCAGCTATTAGAAGAATCGAGTTAAGTTTGTATTAACGCAAAAACGGAGAGTAGAAATGTGGTAAGAGGGCAATAAGAGGCAGTGAGGGCTATTAAAAGTTATGTCAGGTGGGAGGAGGCAGAGAATTGCCTGCGGTTAATCGATCTTTGACCACCGCAAATGCGGAGCCTAAACGAGGTTATCTGTGCGTGTAAGGTCGGTTCGCGTAATCTGATGACAGCCGCTCCTACTTTTGCTGGTAGACACAGTCCCAGTGGCTTGGAGCAGTTCGGTGCGACCTTGTAAATCACACGAAGTTGTGTTAGGGCCTACACGACATCCGGAGTCAAAAACATGTGCGGGAATGGCGTTTTTATGCTTCAAATTTCGTCCGTTCACAGCCGTACCAGAAATTCTTCCCGTATTTCGTGAAACACGGTGCAGACGCGACCTAAGGACTCGGAAATAGGCGAGCAAGCAATCATTGCACCATGTACGGACACCGGCGGTGAATGTGGAAGCTTCCGGTCTTGGGTGAGGTTGTTTAACAAACGCATTTAATCAATTCTGCTCCTCAAGCGCGTTCCTCAACCTTATCTATTGCTGCTCCGAATTATGGGTTGGGAAGCGAATCCAAAACGAGAAACGGGAGAATTCTTGGTTTGACGACGCCCAACTGCTTCCAGGGAGTCGTCTGTTCGATTCAATTCGACGACGCCCACCTCGCTTCGGAGTTGGACTCCTTTCATTGGGATTTGTTATGCTCGACCACCCTGTGACATGCCATTAAGGCCGTAATGGTTGATCACCGCTGCCGAGAAACATGTATAGAAGTCGAGTGAATGTCAAGGGCCGCTCATCTTGTGTTGTATCCCGTGTCTGTCAGGGTTGCGCTATTTGGTCATGACGTGACGTAGGCTGGTGTACTCAGTCCCAGTGGGCGGCGTATCGCTGAGCTATTCTCCGACTACTGCTTATCTTGCATGAACAGACGCCGCAGAGGCGCCCGTGAGCACCTTCGCGGGTACGAGGCATAAAAATTCACTCCCCGAGACTGAGCCTCTTTGGTTTCGCTGCCGGAGATGTCCACTCAGCTGTGCCGCGTTGAAGCTACCGAACAAATCGTATTGTGGGTCGAGATTCCGAACAAATGGTCAAGGTGGAGGGCATATCGTCTCAACCGAATGTTCAACACCTCCACTCGACCACACCAAACGTCTGCTATCCGCGGATATAGATGCTTAAAACCCCCCGATGGAGCTGTTTTAATTTGCGTCCTTTCAACTGGAGGCAACAAGACGGGGTTCAAGCGGCGGAACAAATTAAAAAAACGACCTCCAGGAAAGCTGGTTGGCAGCAGCCCCGAGTAGACTGGCTTGCCTGCCACCCGGCGTGTACTCAGATGGTGGGTAGTGGGACAGACTTCAGGGAAGACTAGCTGCACAATAAACAAGCTCAAGGGTCCGGCAAATACGGAGTCGCAAAACATACTCTGTGGTAGCGATTTGCACTTCGCTGGGCATTAAACAAACAAGTCGTCAACTTATGAAAGGGTCATAGGCCATAGCGCTAGTGTATATGGAAAATGTTGTCCACAATCAAATAAGGTCCCATCCGTCATCCTGCACGACCCTGGGAACCTAAATTGTCGTGCCCGAAAGCTGAATGGAGAAGACAGCCTTGAAGTATAAGTATCCCCGGGGACCATCCACCAACCAACCTGCCCACGCGACTGTAAATTTGGAGGATCAGGGAGAGCCACGTCGCTCATGATCTGGCTGAACTTGCCGAGTCAACTTTTCGCCCAGCCGCAGTCTCAGTGGGAAAGTAAAATAGGGCCATTAAAAGCAGAGCGACTTTCCTAACCCATTTGTACGATGGTCCTTGTAAGAACTAACGAAACACGACCTACTGTTCACAACTGCATTATATTCCTAAGGTCTGTACAAAACGTAGAAGCCTTCAGAAGAATCGCGCAGCGGGCGGCAAGTCTGCAGTCAAAACATTGTTACAGACAGATCCACATCGCTAAAAAGGGACATCCTAAACCGAGCAGTCGTTTTTACTCCTCCACTCACCCACGAAATCGTTTCTACTTTGATGCGCGTACTTAACTACTTTCTCCTCAGATAATGCATTGAGTGACAGTTCACATGTATTTCGGAAGAAAAGTAAAATCACGCCAACTGTCGAGTTCAGAGGTCAGGAGAGATTTGTTTCTTGTCCGCCTTTACACCATAGTTTTAAGGGTGTATTTAAAACTCGAGAATTCAAGCATACGACCCATCTCCCTAGGACCGCTATTTTAATTTCATGACACGAACCAAATCTTAAAATACCATAATTCCGGGGTAGTTGGGGAGCCTACAACAAGTTTCCGAGCTCGGATAACACGCACGAAGTCGCGGAACACGAGACAGGCTAAAGTCTAAAATTGGACGGTAATCTGGGAATCACCAACTTAAAACAGAAGTCTTAAAAACAGGCATGCGTGTTCACCAGAAGAAATAGGAGTGAAAATGAGATACTGAGAGACGCCGTGAATGTTGCTCCCCCCGAGAGGTGTCACGAAGTCAACACACAATAATCCTATGATCTCCTGCCAAGGTTTGTCGTCCAAACGCAAGGACATAATGCCGCAGGGGGTATCAAGAAGTGACTGTACGTTTTATTATGTACAAAGTACCGCAGAACTGTTGGGGCTCAGTCTGGGGCTTTGAGAGGCTACACCTGACGTAACATCCTGTCTATCTCTCTCTGTACAGGATCGTGCTCACGGAGGAATCGGATGGGGACGTTCTTCTCCAAAGCGGTCTTCCAGTCACCATTAGTGGCCTTCGCAGTTGCCAAAATGCCGTGGATGGCCACCAGAGTGAGGGTTTTGCTGCCCGCCCTCCAGTGTAGGTAGCGCTCAATGGGGAGTCGGACACATTCGACGCCTGGAAAAATAGAAAATTAGTATAAATAACAACTCCGAAGACTGGTTGGGAGGATTCCGCTCAGGATAATATACTTATGCGAGAACAGGGCTCGACTGAAACACGTGAGATATAAGAGAAATCAATTAAAGTTAGTCTTTTCACACACGTGGGATGCAAGAATAGGGGGAGTGGAAGAGGGCGCAGAGCAAATCCTGCAGTCAACCGACCTTTGGCCATGGTAAATGAAGAGTTTGAACGAGGTTTTCCTGTTTGCACAAGATCGGCTTGCATAACCTGATGGTAGTCGCATCTGCTGTTGCTAACGGACGCTGGCTCAGTGGCTTACGGTAGTTCGGTGATAACTTACATGTAGGAGGTTACGTGGGGGTCACACGATCCCCGGAATCAACAAAACGTGCGACGATGGAGCACTGGAGCTCAATTTACAGACTTCGCAGGCAGTCGCGTAGCTACCAGTAACCACGCAGGAGTACCGACAAAGAAATGAGGGGCTGGGACGGCTCTTTTTGGCTCATTAGCCAGTCACGCCTGACCCCTAGGATTCGAACCCAGAAGCCTTGGTCGTTGAGCGTTAAGTAGTCCAACACACTACGATTTAGTCGCTAGCCCGTTTTCCTGTCCGTTGCGATCGGGAATATTAACTATCGTGAGATGGTGACTCGCCAATCAGAGTACAACACATGTCAGCTTTCAGTACAAGTCAGGAGGAAGGCAACTTCGATTAATCCATGCAGGGGGCTCGCATGGCCGCAGTGGTCAGGCGGTTGAGTAACCAGTACTGACTGGGGGGGGGGGGCGGCGGTTGGACCCTATGTCGTAGAAAACGTTTTCCCAAGACATGCGCCCTTATTGCAGATGGTATGGTTTAACAAACATCATAACAAACTGTTGTATTGGCTTAAGAGCGTCTATAAAGACAACATGGAGCCAGGTCCCACCTGCCCTCACTTTTGCGGAAATCGTTTTTGGACAAAAATATCCGGGCTTTTAAAAGTATTCCAAAACGGAGTCTGTCATTTACCAGGAAACCAAAGTTTGACCTCGAAGGTCCGAGGCAAGTATGAGATCGTAAATATGACAATGATGTTACGCTGGGCGGAGAGTTTGACCACCATTTAGAGGCCCATGGATCAAAATCTCAAAAGGAAACTAATCTCGTCTTAAGTTCAAAAGAAGAAAATCAACTCAGTCAGTCGATTTATCTAATTATTAATGTAAACGAAGTGGACTGGTGAGAAGCTATCGGAAGCAAGCGTGCGCTCGCTAAACAGGTCTCTGAATACTTCTCCAGAAGAAAAATCGAGTCACCGAGAAAGGCCTAATGAAAATGACGAGCCAGACGTCAAATCTTATGAAACTACGCAGGAATGAGAATTACATGGGCCTGTCAAACTCTGGCTTTTATTCAAGTGCACTAGTTGCTTGTCTCGGGAGCTCTTGAGCTCAGGAAGACAATAGAAGAGTCGGATATGTGGTTGTGGCACAAACCGCACAAAAACTTGACAACTTACCAGAGCGTCTGGCTCTTGCATGTGTGACAGGACGCCGGATAGCCTTGTCCACAATCCCACCGACGACATAGGCGGCGTTGTTATCCCATTCCCCGGGTTCAAAGGCGCGCGGTGCGTTGGGACTCAGGTACACAATTCGCCTACCTCCAAGGAAGGAAGACAGCTCGAGATAGTGCTCCGGTCTGATAGTCCAAAGGCAATTTTCAAGGCACTGGGGACCGGAGGGCTATAAAAAAAACCAGGTTGGTAGAAACCGAACAAAAGGTAAATTGTGGCAAGTTGTAGCTTTGAGAGTTTCTCATATGAGTATTTGTAGTCGGCCAAAAAGTTATTTAGGGGGAAATCAACATCATAAGTTGGCAAACTAAAAGGAAACAGCGGTTATATGTAATGGTTGACGAAGGCATGAGGGCCAGATTTTATGACGTTATAAAGGTCACAAAGTACACGGTCCGAAATAACGCCTGGAAATGTTCGCACCGTTTAAATTTCGTAATTAGTTGGCCTCAGCATACGACTAGCAAGCAATGACGGGAGAGCCTTGAGAATAAGGCGACGCAGAGGGTCACTTACGTCGTTGCGAGCGTTGAATTCGTTAGCGAAGAACTGATACTGGTTGGTTCCTTGGATCAAACTTGTGAGAACAAGGTGAAAAGGGATAGGCCGCATTTGGCGGTTGTGTGAAAGGACAAGAGCCATTTGTTTGGCGAGATTTTTTTGGTCGGCGACACGCATCTCCTCCTCGTGCGAGCAGTCAAAGAGGAGCATCTGTGAGGAGTCCGGATTGCGCAACTCCGCAGCTAGCCAGTCATCCAGATGCGCCCTGATAGGGGTTTCACGTACAACGTGGAGAATCTGGTTTTTTTGAATGTATTCAACTTCGGACTTAGACTAGGGAAAAGAGTAAATGTGAAATCAACTGAATTTGACTGAGTGGAAACAGTTGTGCGAAGGACGTTAAGGCGTAAATAAGGAGGAGGCCCACGCTTAGGGGCATCATTCTAAGTTGAGACAGGTATTAGATCAAGCAATCTCGTAGTCAATCACGACAGTGACTGCATGAGTCATTTTTGGTTTGCATGCGGAAGTTTGTAAGTCATCCAAAAATCATGCCACGAAGCCTAGATAACTGGTGGATGGACGCTCTACCACCGAACCAAGGACGGTTCTGTTTTATTTTGCAGTTCAGGTATAGGGGTCGAAAAAGCGGCCCGCATAAGCGGCAAGTGTTGCAAAGACAATGGAGACGGAAATGACGATTCGTTGTTATTACAAACCGAAATTCTCAAACGGGGAATAATAATCAGAGGTAAACGTATACGCCTACTACTACTGTAAATTCGATGAAATATCTTCGCATGATCGTATCTTTAACTATATGCTGAGATAATGCTTTTGAGGGTGAGAAGGAGAAGAGACTTACTTCCTTGACACGTTGAAGCTGTTTGGCTGCTTTAGCTTCCCGCTTCATGCTAACTTTAAAACGAAAGGCGTAGTATTTCCTGCGTGCGCTCACAGATGTACAACATAAGAGTTCCAACAAATCGTCGTCAGAAAGATGCAATGGCGCCTGTTTGCCATCCGCGACAAAAGCGCTATGTTCCGTTTTTATAAACTCCAACCGCTTCTGGTCTTCAGGCTGCAAATTCTTAAGAATACTTGAGGACGGAACTGTACGATCAAGCAGATACGATGGTATCGGCAAAGGTTTGCCCGCAAATATGGCAGTCCGACGGAGAGGGCTCGCAGGAGAAACCATGGCAAAAATCTTCTGGCCGCTTCGCAGGCGCGAAGCAAGTATCGACAACATTTGACTAGAATTTCGGCCTCCTGCGGCCTACAGGGTTGGATTCACCTTAAATTGGGATTAAAAGTTCGCAGGCGGGTGATGCGACGGAACGCGAACGGCAAATGCAGCCAAACAACCAAACCACAGACGGAAAGCGAGCTGCGAGTAACTAAGGCCAGTAATTTGCGGAATGTTTCCGCCGCCTATTAGGCTATTGGACGAACATATTTATGCGAGCTGCAATGTCTTCTACGACTCTTCTTGAGTTTGCGTTTTGCGAAATTATGTTTGGACAATATATCCAGTCACTGGGCGACCCGGATGGCAGTGTCTATTACCCATATATATTGTTGACTATACTGAACGAATCTCCATACCATGGAAATTCAAAAAGGCCGTACACGTTTTCCTGTTTTCCTTTGTGGGGATTCTTGATCCGGCTTCGTATTCTCCAGAGAATCTACGGGTCTGCGCTTCTATACCAAGGAATTGGTCATGTAATAATCTTCCGAACAGTAAGTATTGGTCTATATATAGTTATGCGTTTTCCTAAAAAATAACTAATGCGGGCAGACAACTCGCCTAGCTTGTCATATTTTGGAACAGAAGCTTAATAAACTTTTGTAGTTGCCCACTTGTGGATATGTCTGAATGCTCTTGGACGTCCCGCCGTAATGGTCGATGAACATTTGGGTGTAAGTCTTCGTTCTGAGTAATTTTACCATCGTTTTCATGGTGTTTAAAACAGGGGAACACATGTTGGAGATTCGAAACTAACTCGATTAGAAACCCTTATCGGTGTTGCAACGTGGACTCAACGTCAATATTGGCATAATTCCTATTGACCCAACTGTGAAAAACTGGACGCCTCGGTGGGATTCGAACCCACGCAGTAAGGAGAAGGCTTTAGTACAGCCAACGCTCTAACCACTTGAGCTACGAGGCCCCGCCGGACGACTCGAGTTTAATCACACTTGGGTCAAGTTTACCCGCCCAACCTACTGCAACATCTGGAATCCACCAAATCTGATACAGTTAGTTGACTGCCCAAGCAGGATTTTCTAAGTAATTCACCTAGAATCCACCAGATGACTACCAGGCTCATATAATTCATAGGTATTTTGGCAGATTTTGAATAAATCCTATTGACCCAACTGTGAAATCTGCTTCTACGGACTAGGAAACTGCAACGTCCTCAGGCACGGCTGGAACCAGTCTGTTGGAGAAGAAGAACTTTCGTGTGTATAGTCGGGCGCCAGTCACACGTATTTTGAGTGGATGACCTCTCAGGCTAACCGTAGTCGACAACTTGAAGAAGCCTCCTGATACGAAACCGCAGCCCTGTTTGCTCAGGATGAGGAAACCTTGTATCAGGTCACCAGTTTACTGTCTGTAACTCAAAGCAAAGTGGTCAAGATTAGCTAATTGTCTTTTGTAGGGTAGTGATCACTGTCCAGTTACAGGTTTCGTCGCTCGCCGTTGAACTTTGTCGAGTGTGCTGAGGTCTTTAGCGGTCCCGAGTCTCCATGCTTGGATAATAAACTCCAGATGTGGCCGCACAAAAGTTCGAAAGACCTTGGCGAAGTATTCTTCATAAAAGAAGGAGAACGCCCGTTTGACGAGGTATAGGATGGGCAACAAAACTTGGCTACCTTTGAGCAGTGCAGCAAAGGCTTGAGAGAGGTTGTGATCCCCACACCCACGTCCATCTGGGCGTCGACTTCTTGCAATGTTTTCTCAGTCAGACGGCAGACCTTGCGGTTTCGAGAACTTGTTGCACTTGTTTACGTTCAACTGTAGAAGCCAGTCGTTTGACTATCGCCCTAGGCGGTCTAGGTTTGTCTGCAGTCCGTGCTTCGTCAAGTTAATTTCGTATGGCACTCCAGATCTTTACATCATCAGCAAACATTGTGATTTCGCAATCCCATTCGTTTGAGCAGTCGTTGACGTATATAATGAACTGTGCAGGGTCAAGAACGGAGCAGTGGGGAACACTACTCCTAACGGTAACCTCGGCAGACTTCTGGTTACTGACGTGGACGGGTTGAGAACGGCCGAGTGAAAAGCTTCGAATCAAAATCGGAAACTTACCTCGCACTCCTATGTGGCTGGGTTTGTACTGAAAGCGATGGTGAGACACACTGTCGGAGTAGATATAGACCGCATGTACTATATGCCTTATATCAACAGTCAGAGTCCAGTGTTTCAGACGGTAGAACAGATTCGCTACACAGGACCTGCCTTTTCGGAATTCATTCAGCAAATCGGAAAGTATAGATAGATAGATAATTTTTATTAAAGACCTGTCGGGGTCCCATCAAAGCAAGTTAAAATAAATTTACATGCGAGTTTTAGACGAGGTAGGCCGAATCTTTACAAAATGCAATTCATAGTTTCTGAATTAGAAGTCCATTGAGAAACATGATGATTGAGGGGTGAAAAAAACTCCTTACAAAAAGCTAAAAATGATTGGATTAATTTTACAGGAGAAAAAAAACCCCTCAATAAAAATAATGACAGAAAAAAGCAAGCAGGACTGGCCTGTGGGTGGCGGTATATAACTAAATGTTGTCGGTCATTGTCAGGGTAGCAATAAATGTCAGCCTTGAGGGGTACGAATGTGGGTCAGACAGGACTGGCTTGCATATGGCATTGTATACGGGATTCACAATTGAGATCGTCTGGGCCGGATTGATACGCCGTGTCAAAGAGGCCAGACGAGAGGAACCCAGATGCGATCGGCCACAGCACGCTTCGAGCTCAGCCGAGCAGAGGGGAAGGGAGGTACGACCGAACTACTAGGAGACAGTGAATACTGAGGGTTCAGCCGTGAGCGTCGACAGACCGCATGAGGTCGGAATGCGGGAGATGACATCAAAAACCGCGAAAATTGTCGCTATGGGGGAGGAGTGATAGCAGTGGATTTAGAAACCAATTCAAAACAGGGGTTTCTAATGATATAATTAAGAGTTACCACTTAATCTACCACTAAATCCCAGGAGGACCCTTCTCGAAGTCAAGAATCTAAGTGTTCGGGAATGAGACCGTTAACAGTGCCTTTATGCTTTCCGGTGTAAGATGTTTGCGTAATTTCGACTTGAATACCAGTAACTTAGGCGATAATCTAATTTCAGGCGGAAGATTATTCCAAAGGAAGGCATATTTGGAAGCAAAGAAGAGGGAGCGCTTAGATGTAGTACAAAGAGGCGGCGGAATCACCATGCAGGAGTTGCGCGTGGCATAAGACCGATCTCTCGCAGTGAAAGTGTCAGTGGGCGGAAGAGTGGAGTTAAAGTAAATACGAAAAAGGAAGCAAAGACCAGCTTCGCGTCTTCTAACCCACAAAAACTTAATGTTCGCCAGCTGACATCTCTGAGTATAAGAAATACCGGACGAAGCTTGAGAGAACAGTTTCCGGGTGAAAACCATCTGAACATTTTCGATTTTATCACAGTTACAGGCGTTCATTGCACCAAAGAAAGGACAGCAGTATTTGAGGACAGGAAGAACAAACATTTGATAAAGTCTTAGCTTCATTTCCGGAAGGAAAAAATTATGCGATATGAATCCACATATCTGCGCGGCTTTGGCAGAGATTCTATCTGCATGAGGTGATAAAGCAAGTTTATTTGTATAACTTAGACCTAGGTCCTTTATGGTGAGGCATTCTGAGAGTGGGTTATTCTGAAAAATTAGGGGACCAGGAAGTTTGGCAGGACCAAAAGACATGAAACTACACTTGGATGATGAAAACTCCATCTGCCATGTCGAACCCCATCTGCTTAAGCGTAGTAAATCGACATTAATTTTTTCAACACAAACATTTGCGGTGTCCTTAGAGTATGAGTAAACACATTTGAGGTCATCGGCATAGGTAAAATTTTGCGAATTTCCGAGTTCCGTCGAAATATCATTGATGTACAGAAGGAAGATTAGCGGACCCAGAGCCGTGCCTTGAAGTACGCCACTCGTTATCGAGTGGGGTGTCGAGTAGCTATTACCGACCATGACTTTCTGATATCGGTTGGACAGATAGGACCTGATGAAGTCAAGTAGAGGCGGCCGGATGATGAGAGCTTCCAATTTTACTAATAGACGTCTATGGGGCACCTTGTCAAAGGCTTTGCTAAGATCAAAGTAAATAACTACCACTGACTGCCGCTCATTACGAAGAGAAGTGATTAGATTAAGAAAAGCCAAGTGACATGTTTCGCAGGATCGTTCAGATAAAAATCCATGCTGACTAGAGCTCAGAAGCCGATTAGCTAGACAGAAGTCAAGAATTTCATTGAAAATAATCCTTTCAAGAAGTTTTGCTAGAAACGGCGTTTTGTGCACGCCCCGATAGTTATTAACATCGGACCGAGATCCTGACTTGAAAACGGGAATGATAATTGACGTTTTCCATGTTTCAGGAAAGAATCCGTTTGAAATATAAACCGAGAATAAATGACTGAGCAATATGGGAAGGTCGGACGCTTGTTTAATAATCGAATTCGGAATCCCGTCCGTTCCTGAGCAGTGTGAGTATTTCAAACGGCTAATGTGTTTCTTAATGAGATCTGAGGAGACATCAATTGTACTACGTGTCCTATCTGAAAGTGATCGAAAGAAAGGGACTGGATCGGACTCGGTAGCAAGGTGTTTTGCAAAGAAAGCACTAAACAACTCCGCCTTGTCAGTGTCATCGGTGAGGAAGACTTTGTTATCATTTAGCAGGGGTGGATGTTCGTGACCACGCTTAGAGGAGGACCGATGACGAAGATGTTAGCGACGGATTTGCCAGGGTTCGAACCACTGAGAGCAATTGATTCTCTTTGCCTGTCGCGCGCCTGGCGCATCCTTGAGGTCATCTCGAAAATCTCTGTGATTCTAAGATGAACTGATAAGGAACTAGTGGAGGGGTCACGCAGTTGTCGCCTCAACTTTTTCGTCTGTTCTGAAGAAAATGAGGAACAAGGGAATCTGAAGAATTAGGCTTGAGATATCTACGCGGCACAAACTCTAGAATGTCCTTGGAAACATTGGACATGACATCACGAAGAATGGTTACATCGCTACAAGTGAGTAAGCCACACCAATCCAAGGATCTCATATAGTTATTTATTAAGTCGCTATCTACGCAGTCGTAGTTCATGTAAGTCCGAACGGCGCTTGTCTTTTTTGAAAAGGCAAGCGGTAAGCAACAATTAATTAATACGTGGTCACTATCAAAGAGGTCCTTTTTTAAAGCAACCGAAAGAGGAGCAATGTCATTGGTAAAGATTAGATCTAAAATGTGATTATCTCTTGTTGGAGAGCGCACCAGTTGGGACCAATTAGAAAAATTGACAATATCTTGAAAGGGCTGGAATCTGGGTGGGCAGCTATTGGAAACCCAGTCAATTTCAGGAAGGTTAAAATCCCCAGTGATTATTTTAACATCGAAAGCAGCTTCCGAAATTAATTTAAAGATTTCACAGAGTTGAGAATCATCACTGGCTAAAGAATTTGGGGGATTGTAGATACAGCCAATAATTGCCTTTCTTTGCGGCGAGAGGATAACAGATGCAAAGCAGAAGTTTCCCGTGAATGAGGAAACATCCAAGTAATAGGGAGAGTGCTTTAGGTAGGATTTAAGATAAAGAAGACAACCACCCCCACGCCTAGTCGTGCGGTCTTGGCGGTAAAAATCGAAGTCATCTATGAGAAGGGCAGAGTCAGGAATTAGAGCATGTGTCCAAGATTCGGTTACACATATAATATCAGGCGTCATTTCCAGAGCAATGGCTCTGATTTGGGCCATCTTGTTTATAACAGACCTGGCATTCAATAATATAATATCTAATGTGTTTCGAACGGCAATGCTATTTTCGACGGTATTTTAAAAAAATTTGGAGGTGGATATGTAAGCTGTGAATTAATGACACTTGGACAATAAGTACCAGTTAATCTAGAGTTATTGACGTACGGGGAGTCAGCAAGAGAAGGCTGAGTATGAGACCCATGGGATGTGGGGATATAGTTTTCAAACATTGGAATGCAAGGGGAGTTAGAACATGGATAGACTTGTTGGTAGTTAAATAGTGGAGGAAGGGGAGGAGGAGGGAGGTTAGAAGGAAAGAAGGGGCTAGTGGGTGAGGGTAGGCCGCTATAAGAATGAAATGGTGGGAAACCAGGTCTAGGTTGGAAGTCAAAGAAGATAGGTAGACGTACCTGAGAGCAATTGGCCTTAAGTGGTGGGAAGCCTGAACTAGGTTGGGGCATAGATGATTTAGGGCAATTCATGTATGAATTATTTGCTGGATATATAGTAGGGCTTTGATAAGTAACCGGAACGCAGGACAGAGAATTATTCGGGGATATAATTGGAACTGCGGGTATATGGTTTTGTTTAGGAACTGCATCACTTGTTACTTAATTATTTTCTCCCAATCTTGCGAAGAATGGAGATGAGGCTGACCAGTCTGTAATTATTTCCAGAGACCCGACTTCCGCCCTTATACGGCGGCGTAATCCACGTTGGTTTTCACTCGGGTGGCAGTTATCCGGCCTCGAGGGATGTGTGAAAAAGGATAGAGAGTGGTTTAGCCAACTTATCGACGTGTTCCTCTAAAATCTCCTTTAGAATCTAATCGGGACCCGGTGATGTTGGTTCCTTTGGCTTCATCAGTTCCATCAGAATCATGCCCTCAGTAAACTGAACGGTTTCAATAATCGCGGCCTCTTCAAAGTCACTCGCAGGAGGGTTGTATCCAACTCTTCTACTAAAAACAAACCGATAAAAAATCTGAAAGACGATCAGCTTTCGCTCTATTTTCAGCGAGATTTTCGCCTTCAGTAGTCCTTAGCAGTGATAGTGGGTTCTTGTTACGCTTGCTCCGTCTTATGTAACTGTAGAATAATTAAGGGTTCTCCACGGCACCGTTAAGCAGATCAGTTCGAATTCGCCTCTTATTCTGAGGATAGGGCGCTTGACTCGATTTCTTTGAACTCTATGCACACTTACGGATGTGGGTCTCCTGTCAGTAAGAGATTTTTTCCACAGCCTTCACTTTTTACTCACCGAATTCTTCAAGGCTTGCGTATGTCATCGAGGTCTGTTAGTTAACCTATTTCGTAAAAGCAAACAGTAGTTTGCGATGAGCCTCTGCAGTACTTCACGGGACCGTTGCCAGCCTTCGAGTATGTATCGAACAAATGCGAATTCCCACTCAATGCGTGTAATTCCAGCCCTCATTTGGTCGAAATACCCGCGAAATATGTTTCTTCTAATTGATACAAGTCTCTCGGGCATAGAAAAGAGCGAGCAACCCCACAGCAGAACGACGTGATCACTTTTATCTAGGGGAGAGGGGTAGGCATGACATCTTTTTAATGCTGTCCTGTGGTTTCGTAAGGACAAAATCAAGGCAGTTGGCCTGTTGGTCTTGGCGTAGTCTAGTCGGAAACGCAGCATGTTGAGTGAGAAATAACTTCAGTGTCGTGTTCACAAAACTCCCATATAAGGTCTATTCTGGGCTATTTGCGTGGGCCCAGCTCCAGTCAATGTGAGGCGCATTCAAGTCACCCATGATCTGGACATTCGGCCGCGTAGCAGACTTTTCGAGCTCCTCTTGCAAGACAGCGTCGGCGATACTATTGAAGAGACCTTGGAAGAGTGACAGGTCTTCCGAAACCTGCTCTCTGGGTATATTTGCACTTGATTCAGGGAGCCCCTGTAAAATAGGGCATTTTTCTCTGTCGACTTCTTTTTGTTTTCTACGGAGATGTCACTCCATTAATGGCGTAACACTCTGACATCGTGCGCTGGTGATGGTGCAGCGGGAGTTTGACAGTCGGCTTCGACGATGTCCCCCGTGTGCTCCACAGCAAGGTGGAGCAAGGACGGTGACGTGTGCGTGAGTTAGTTTATACTGATAGTGGACTTACACAGCATCTACCGCACTCTCATTTCCCCAATCCCCAGCTGGACCCGGTGTCAAGACTGAGTCAAGAACACTGGAGATGGGGGGAGGACGCAGGTGGCTGGCACGGCCGGAGCCGCACCTGAGCATGCGACCACACGCCAGGTCTACATAGCAAATGGCCAGGATTTTCGCCAACAACAACAACACCCCAACAGGGACAACTGTTGGCGAGGATAACTGGGAAACCATGCCCACCGCCCGTGCACCTAGCGGGAGCGTAAGCGCATCTACCGGCAGGGAACCAGGTGTCAGGAAACTGCCAGCGCATACCACGCCACGAGGGTCATGGTCTGCTAACGCTGGCATAGCACACGCCTACATGCCTTTTGACCTAGAAGGGCGACACGTAGTCCTGAATCCAGCCTGCGCCTTCACCCTCCAATGTTAGGTAGGCAAACAGTCTTCGACTGAGTCGTCGACTGAGAGGCACTACCCATAGAGTGCAAACACTCTCCTTACATACATGAGAGTGTCACAGATAGCTGGAGAGGGAGGCGCTCCAGCTTGGCTCTCAACCGACCAATCCGCCACTTCACCCAAACACACACACAACTGGACGCACTGTGTGAACTGATTTGAGGCGTCAGTCGGCTCCCTTCCGAACGCCGGCGCTCGAAGCACCGTGACGGTGTCAGATTTCGACCACACATGCAGCTGGGGGGCCAAATAGAGATGGAACCGAGACACAGGCTCTCCACTTGCGGGGAGGGATGACGGCTGGGTGTTTCAGGTGGGTGAAATTGATGTGCGGTGAGATGCTGGTGGGGGAGGATGTGATGGCGTGATGCAGCCGGCGGGGGTCTACCGCAGGTTTTTGTGAATATGCATGTGGTCTAATAGATCCATGCGGTGAATAAATGTGCGTGTACAATGTGGAAATTGGATGCGAATGCGGCGAATGTAGGTTGGTGTTCCACGCACTGTGTAGCCAGTTCCTGTACGATGGATTCGTAAGTCACCGACCAGGCCGATGCGTGAGGTGAATGTGCGGAGGCAGTGTTGACATGAGAGGTCGACGATGTCGGTATCAACTTCGGCGGTGGTGGTGGTGGGGAGCGCGCTGGGAGATGGGATGTGAGTTTGGCTGAGCATAGTGGATGTTCAAGATGTACTGAGCGTGGTGGAACTGCTGACAGTGGGCGCGCTGGTCTGCAGAGCATGGGCGGGGCTAGGCATGGTGAGTGCGCTGGGTGCGCCAGGGCTGCGGTCAGTTCCGTTCTCGTGGATACGCATGTGATCAAATAGGCCCACACGGTGCATGAATGTTCTAGGGCAATGCGGACTGTGGTGGCGAATGCGGCGGATGTAGGTCGGTGCTCCAGGCACTGGTTCGCCAATCTCTACGCGATGGATTCACGAGTGACCGAGCAGGCCGATGTGTGGGGTGAAGATGCGGTCGCAACGAGGAGAGGTGTAGACCAGGTCTTTGCAGCGTATCCTACCGGGACCGTCAGGACATCATGCCCCAAACGCGTGACAAGCAAACGATCAAGGTCATGACCCCTGTTCACACCTTCTTTATGCTGATCGGCCACCCATCAGCCTATGGCAGTCCTCCTTACCATATACCCGGCGGTTTCCACAAGCCTTCTCACTTGTGCTGTCTATTGTACTCAGTACACGTCCTATTTCCAATTACCCTTCTGTTTTGCATACATAACAGTCCTCACCACTGATGTCGACGGTGGTGACGTCAGTATCTGTTGGTGTGTCAGGACTCTGTGTAATGTGCATGTGAGTGCAGACGCCACTGCGCCAGACGTCAAGGCGGTGGAGGAGGGGGAGGAGGTGGATGAGGAGGAAGAGGAGGAGGAGGAGGAGGAGGAGGAGGAGGAAGAGGAGGATGGAAATGCTGGTTCGGGAGGGCGGTCGGATTTAGTTGACGATGTAGGAGGCGAAGGAGAGGTCGACGGAGAGACGACGGTTGGTGCAGTCCGAGAGCTGCAGTTGATCCGACGGTGTCCAACATGTCCAGTTGGAGTCCGGAATGTTCACTGACACCGTGAACACGTTGGGGGCGGTTCGCTGTTGGCGTTGCGATGTAAGCGCAGCTGAGATTTTAGGGTTTCTCGTTTAGCTTTTGCAGTGACGATGCGGTTAGCCCCGTAGATCGTTCCGCCTGTCTTCAATGTCCTTCTCCAGGCTGGCCGGTCTCGGGCGAGGTCTTTCCAGTCGGCCGGGTTGATCTGAAGACGCTTTAGGGAGGTCTTCAGAATGTCCTTCTGTCGGTGGATTTGGCCTCCTCGGCGGCGAGAATCCGTGTTGTTTGGGTAGCCGCTCGTTATCCATCTGCACGAGGTGGCAGCTCCAACGAATTTGCGGTTGTCTCAGCATGGCATGGATGCCGAGAATTCCCGTCCGTTTCAGTACGTCGGTGTCGGGGATCCGCCGGTTTGCTGCGCATTGTGGGCAGTGTTGACTGACAGTTGACACACGGCGAACACTTCCGAGGAGGTGTTGAGGGCGCAATCGTAAGCAAAGGGAAATTCGTGGGTGGTGGTTGTGGATATACGCGACTGGAAGTGCACCCGCCTATGGTTGAGGAGGTGGTCGTCCGTCTTGTAGACGATGCAGATCTCGAGGTGTTCGTCACAGTAGGCGACCATTAGCATGGCAGTGAACATAAGACTGGAGAGGGTGGGCGCGAGGACGCAGCCTCACTTCAATCCGTTGGTCACTGCGAATGCCTCTGAGCCAGCTCCATTGTTTGTGACGCGCGCCATCATGCCGTCGTGGAGCTGACGCACCATCTGAACAAATCGTTCGCGACAGACAAATTTCTGCATGATTTTCCACAGTCCGTCGTGATTCTCCGTGTCGAAGGCTTTCGTCAGATCCACGAAGGAAGAGTAGGGGTAGGTCCGCATCTCCTGAGGTTGGCGGGCGACGAAGATCATGTCCGTGGACCCACGATGACGACGGAAGCCGCACTCGCTTTCTGGCAGGAGACCTTGTTCTAGGTGGTTGTTCAGACGATTGAGAAGGATGCCAGCAATGAGTTTCCCCCCGATGTTCAGCAGGGCGATGCCTCGAGGATTTTCACAGATTTGGCGCCTTTTTTCCGCTTACAGAGATGCACGATTGTGACGTCTTTGAAATCCTGTGAGATTTCTCCTTGGCGCCACATCTCTTGGAAGAGCGCCGTCAGATGATCCATCAGTTGGGGCAACCGCGCTTATAAATTCCAACATGGATCGCGTTCGATCCGGGCGCTTTCCCGCTGGAGAGCTGCTGCACGACCCTGATGGTTTTGTGGAGATAGGGCGGGAGGTCGAGGTCCACGCTGGTCTCCACTTGCGGCAAGCGAACGATGGCGGCGTCGGAGATGGCGGAGGGGCGGTTAAGGACGCCTCGGAAATGCTCGGCCCAATTCTGTAGAATTTGCGTGTTCGTGGTCAGGAGGGTACTACCGTCGGCGCTGAGGAGAGGAGCGGTGCCTTTGGGCTGTCGATCGGGCTGTGCTCCCAAGTTGATGCCATCGGTTCTCCACGAAGGCGTTCTGGTCAGCGGCAGCGGCAACTGGAAGGTGGCCTAGCCGTTTCGCTAACTCGTTGCCAAAATCGAGATGGTGAGCGGGCAGAGGCAACAAGGCAATATTCAGCTTACATGGGGGTCACTTACCTTGCGGTCTCCTGCGAGGCTGCAGGCGAATCCGCAAATTCGAGATGACAAGTCAGTGGTTAGTCCACCCATTGGCACCCGGAATCGCCTTCGTCACTAGCACGTCCTGCCGGTCTTGCCTTCGGAGGAGGACAAAGTCTAGCGGGTGCCACTGACGCAACCGAGTAAGCATTCAGACAGCCTTCGGTCACATCGGGAGGCGGAAGAAGGTGTTCTTCAGGATGAGTTGTTGTACTGCGCAGGTTCTTTGAGGGAGCAAGCCATTGTCATTGAAGCTGTTAAGACCATGGTTACCTAGCACTCCTCTCCAGGCAGCATGGTCTATGCCGAGGCGGGCGTTGAAGTCACCAAGGAAAATCCACTTATCCGCCTTCAACACAGCGGTCAGGGGGACATGAAGGTCCACGTAGAATTTGTCCCTTGCGGCGTCAGGGCTGGTCATCGACGGAGCGTAGACGTTGATGATGGTGACAAATTTGCCTCCCTGGAGAGGCGGACGGAGGCTAATCAGAAGACCGTTGATACCCGACGAATAGTACTCTCTGGCCCTGATGGATGAATCGATGCCACCGCTCGTACTAGGTCTGTCAAGGTTGAACGTTTTCCGAGAATCATCATAGGTGTTTGAACACACGACGTTTGACATGATGGACGGGATATTCGTCGATATATCTGTTTCGGCTTCTTCGGAGACATCTTTGGGAAGTAGCGATCTGGCCCAGTCCTTTGCTTTCGTTCACATTCAGATAGGAAATTCAGTACAATCGATGTCTCCTCAGATCTAATTAAGAAGCACATAAGTCGCTTGAAAAACTCACACTGCTCAGAAACGGACGTGATTCCAAATTCGATTATTAAACAAGCGTCCGACCTTCTCATATTGCTCAGTCATTTATTCTCGGTTTATATTTCAAAAGGATTATTTCCTGAAACATGGAAAACGTCAATTATCATTCCCGTTTTCAAGTCAGGATCTCGGTCCGATGTTAATAACTATCAGGTCGTGCACAAAACGCCGTCTCTATCAAAACAGCCTGAAAGGATAATTTTCAATGTAATTCTTGACTTCTATCCAGCTAATCGACTTCTGAGCTCTAATCAGCATGGATTTTTATCTGAACGATCCTGCGAAACTTGCCACTTGGCATTACTTAATCTAATCACTTCTCTTCGTAATGATCGGCAGCCAGTGCTAGTTCTTAGCAAAGCCTTCGACAAGGAGCCACATGGACGTCTTTTAGTAAAATTGGAAGATCTCGGCATACGGCCGCCTCTACTTGACTTCATCAGTCCTATCTGTCCAAAAGATATCAGAAAGTCATGGTCGGTAATAGCTACTCAACACCTCACACGATCACGAGTGGCGTTCTTCAAGGTACGGTTTTCGGCCCCCTACTCTTCCTTCTTTACATTAATGATATTTCGATTGAACTCGGAAATTTGCAAACCTTTATTTATGCTGATGACCTCCAGTGTGTTTACTCATACTCTAAGGACACCGCAAACGTTTGTGTTGAAAAAATTAATGCCGATTTACTACAGTTAAGCAGATGGGGTTCAACATGGCAGATGGCGTTTTCATCATCCAAGTGCAGTTTCATGTCTTTTGGTCCTGCCAAACTTCCTGGTCCCCTAATTTTTCAGAATAACCCACTCTCAGAATGCCTCACCATAAAGGACCTAGGTCTAAGTTATACAAATAAACATTCTTTATCACCCCATGTAGACAGAATCTCTGCCAAAGCCGGGCAGATCTGCGGATTCATATGGCAAAGTTTCTCCTCCCGGAAATGAAACTAAGACTTTATTCAATGTTTATTCTTCCTGTCCTCGAGTACTACTGTCCTTTCTTTGGTGCAATGAACGCCTGTAACTGTGATAAAATCAAAAATTTTCAGAGGGTTTTCACCCGGAAACTGTTTTCTCAAGCTTCGTCCGGTATTTCTTATACTCAGAGATGTCAGCTGGCGAACATTAAGTTTTTGTGGGTTAGAAGACGCGAAGCTGGTCTTTGCTTCCTTTTTCGTATTAACTTTAACTCCACTCTTCCGCCCACTGACACTTTCACTGCGAGAGATCGGTCTTATGTCACGCGCATCTCCTTTATGTTGATTCTGCCGCATCTTTGCACCTCATCTAAGCGCTCCGTCTTTTTTGCTTCCAAAGATGCCCTCCTTTGGAATAATCTTCCACCAGAAATGAGGCCATCGCCTAAGTTACCGGTATTAAAATCGAAATTACGCAAACACCTTACATCAGAAAGTATAAAGGCACTTTTAACCGTCTCATTCCCGAACACTCAGTTTATTGACTTTCAGAGGGGTCCTCCTACGTGTTAGTGGTAGATCATGTGGAAACCATCACTTATATCCTTACAACCCCCCGTTTTGAATGGGTAACTAAATCCACTGCTATAACTCCTACCCCATAGTGACGATTATCGCGGTTTTTGATGTCATCTCCTCATTTCGATCATTAGCGGTCTGTCTATACTCACGGCGGAATCCTCTGTGTTCGTCGTTTGCTAGTAGTTTGGTCGTATCTCCTTGCCCCCTCTTCGGCTGAGCTCGAAGCGGACTGTGACCGAGCGCATCTGAGTTCCTCTCGTCTCACCCCTCTAGCGTGAATAGCCTCATTCGGTATACGAATTATGCCCTGACGATGTCCGTTTTGAATCCCTTATACAATACCACATGTAAGCCAGTCCTGTCAGACCTACATACCTACCCTTTCATGAATGACATTTTTCCGCCCTGACGATGTCTGTTTATACTCCGTTATACACTATCACATGCAAACCTGCTCTACCCGCATTTTAGTTCTTTCATGAGGGAAAAGTTTTTCTCCTTTAAAGTTAATCCCATCATTTTGTTTATTCTATAATGGAGTTTTTTAGCTGCTTGCTCATGATTTTTCTTAAAGGTCTAGTTATTCAATAACTATGTATTGCGCTTTGTACAGATTCTGTCAACCTGTTCTAAAATTCACATGAAACTTCATTTTATTTGCTCTAAAGGGACCCCAAAGGTTCTGAAATAAAGCTATTTGTGATTATTTTTAATATTATTATTGTTAATGATTAGTATTACTAAATCTTTTGTAACACGTTCAGGTGCCATACGTTTAAATATTGCTTTGGGTCACTGCCTCTGCGAATCCGTTTGAAAAATGACTAAAAACTGGCTCCGCAGATCCGCAGACCTGTATGATGACTTGGCTAAACACCGGTCACTATCGAGTAGGTAAAGTATTTTTGTTGAATTCATCCGGAAAAAATGTGTTAATTTCCAAGTATAATTGTAGTGGCTTACTCCGAGCGCCTGACGCAACGCTGGGTCCCTCTCGAGTGTCTGCATGTGTGCACCAGGGTTGTCTGGCATTCGCCCACTCGGATCTCTAATTGGCCAATCAGATTTAAGGCCGAGTCAAACATGTTCTGGCTTAGGACGCTCTGACACATTCCCTCACACACTTGGGACGCAGCGCACCCAGCCCCGGAAGTGTCTTTATCCGGCTGCCAACTCTATCTAACTTCTTCTTAAGTTATTCCGTACAGAATATATTATCCCCACTGGCGCCCTCATTCTCTTTCCATTCGGGACCGGGCCTGAAGGCCATAGTAGCCAGGGTCATTCACTCTGTGCTTAGGCTTCTGCGATAGGATCACTTACGCCGATGACTGCACAGTGCTGCCTGTATCCGAGGCCACGGAAAATACAACCAGTAAACCTAGTACTATCTTTGTCGTATGCATTGTCTACCAAACAGTACGGAATGCAGCAGGATGTAGGGGCGTCCAGTTGAGGGTCCATGTGTAGGTCGTAGTAGGTCGCTCATTTGCTTGCAAGTGTTGGCTGCGCCTAATGTCCATTAATTGACGCCCAATTCCCAAGGTGGCTCCTCGAAACTAGGCTCTGCCTGGCGGCAATACCCTGGTAGACACCCCGACCGGCGGGCTTAATCGGGTGAAGGTGCCCGTGTGTATCCCCACTTATGGTAACTCTGCTCCCCCCCCCCTTCTCCTCTCCCTCTAATCTCCTCTTCTCCCCGCGGTTGGTTGGTCTTACGACAAGGGCGACATGAAATCGCGTATTTGGCCCAAGCCAGTGGGTCGTTCTCTCAGCAACCCTTATTACCCATATTGGAGAGTGGCATTCAGCTGGTGAGACAAAGCACCCGTATTCATTATAAGCCTTAGGACAATAACACCTAAACTTCTATACACTCCCTACTATAAACCATGACTAAAGTTAAATTTACTGTGGACAGACTAGATCTTCCGGCTATCATGCGTTTGCAGAGTCTTATCGAGAAATTTGAACATATTTTTACAATTTTCGACTCATTATAAAACTCAGATACATTTACAAAGAGTCTAACGAGTGTACCACAAATAGAACCGATCATATGCTTTATATCGTCAGAAGTCGAAAACAGATCGAAACGCAGATTTGACTTTATTATCCGTAATATACCCCACACGGCTAACCCAACAGCAACAATTCAACAATTTATAAAATCCTGTGACCTAAATATCCCCATAGCTACCACCAAAAGACTTCACTCATGAAGCGAAAATAAACCCGTACTAGTAACATTTCTCTCACAGACCGAAGACGATCTAGTCCTACAAAACCCTGAATTTAACAGAAGTCTGATGAACGTAAACTCATTCACAGGTCCAGATTTGACACCCATGCAAAGAGGTAAACTTCAGGGAAAGGACACCGGTTGTAAACACGTTATTCAGCACTCCGCTTCATCAACTGAACATTCAACAAGTACTTCTAAGTCTGGCACCAATAAAAAGAAGTGCACAGCCCAGCCTGGACACAATGATAAACGTACCACCCCCTTAGATGAACCTCCAGTGAGTAATTCTGACTCTACCACCCATGATAAAAACGCGTAACTGCAAAAGCAGTTAGGACTGGTAGGCGGAAAAAAACAAAAGGGGTACATCATGGTTCCAGCCCTCAACCGGAACAGAACGAAGACGTAGATCTCGGACCCTGTCACGTGACGCCGTCGAATAATAATATAAGTTTCGCTACGACGCCTACATACGATCAACCAGTAGCATAAATTAACCGTCACACAGCACATACAAACCAGAAGGCCCGATTAAGTAAACCAGTACAACCAAAACGCCCTTAGTATGTAGACCCACGAAATGGGGGTTATCCAAACTCCAATCATAAACAAACAGGCTTCTCTAATTGCACCTCAACTTCCCAAAATCGACCTGCATGGCATAGGAATAAGCCAAACCTCTCTAACATTTAAAACTTCTTAACACCTAATGACAACCCCACAAATTACTTAAACCTACATGCTTCCATAAGTGACACACGAGTTAGATAAAATTATCACTGCAATTACCCGCATTTTTTTCTGTTAATGGGCGAAAGTTCTTTCCTTTTAAAGTTAATCCAATCGCTTTGCTTATTCTATGATGAAATTTTTTCCCTGCTCACTCATCATTTTTCCTAACGGACTACCTATTCAATAACTATGTATTGCATATGGCAGAGATTCTGTTTACCTGTTCTAAAATTCATAAGAAAATTTATTTTTACTTGCTATGACTATAACCTGGGGTTCTTAGATAAAATTATCTTTATTATTATCATCTCGCAAGCACAC